ATGCTTATGCCAAAGCCCGAAATCAATGCAAAATGGGAGATTAGAAAAGCCAAAAGGGGAGTATGAAAAAAAAATGGACAGTAAGAATAATCCAAAAACAGTTTTTAAGTATGCAAATTCAAAGCTGAAAACAAAATCTACAATTTAAAACCTAGACAAAGCTGATAGACCCAAAATCACAAATGACTCAAAAAAGACGAGGAACTTATTAAATTTTTCCCAAGCATGCTTACTAACGAGAATATAAATAACTTTCCATTTATCGAGGATCGAAGGAATGGGTTGACTCTTCCAGGTTTTAGAATAAAATAAATTATAGTTATGAAGCAACTAAAAATTTAAAAGTGAACAAATCACCGGGAGCGGATGGTTTACACCCAAGGATCTTGAATGAATTATCGAATGAATTGAAAGAAACATTTACTTTGTTATTTAGGAAGTCATTGGTGGAAGGAGTAGTACCAAGGAAGGTGAAATAACACCAATTTTCAAGAAAGAAAAGAAGAATATTTGCGATAATTATCGGCCTGTAAGTTTGACTTCCATTGTATGTAAAGTTATGGAGAAAATAATTCGGGCACGGGCTATTAAACATTTGAATCAGTTTACATCCAGCTGAGCTGCAAACATGGCTTTATTGAGGGACGCGGACGCTCATGCACCACCCAGTTACTAGATACAATTGATACGTGGTCTCGACTTTTAGGCAGAGGATCGGCAGTGGATGCAATTTATCTGAACTTTTCAAAGGCATTTGACTCTGTGCCTCACAGGAGGTTGTTATTGAAATAAGAGGGATATGGGATTAAGGGAATACTTTTAAAGTGGCTTGAAAGTCGTCGTTCAATCTGGTAGTTTTGGAATCTATCTACATAAGCACGAAAAAACCGCTATTGTGTAGACAAAAGGAGTTAGTTATTCTCAATAGGCAAGCGGCACTGATTGGTCAACCTTGAAAAAAGAGTGTCAGACGAAAAGCTTTAGTTTACTCAAATGTATCCCCCCCCCCCCCAAAGATTGTTTGCACATTAAAAGACTGGGCAGACATCTGGCAATTGCGATTCAATGGAAGCAAATATAAAGCTATGCATCTGGGTAGGAACAATCATTGTCATGAGTATGTAATGGAACAGAGTGATTTTCAAGTGCTATTGACAGTTACTGAATGTGAGAAAGACTTAGGAGTGAATGTCGATAGAGATCTTAAGTTTAGCAATCATGCTGAGATTGTTTCAAACAAAGCAAACCGACTATGCGGAATGATAAGACATTATTTTAGTTACATGAATGGAGATATGTTCAACCTTTTAAGAGTTTGGTGAGACCGCATCTAGAGTATGGAAATACAGTATGGTCTTTTTGGTATGTCAAAGACGTGCAGTTAATAGAGAACGTCCAAAGGAGAGCCAGCAAGTTAGTTGAAGGCCCAAAAGATCTAGATTATGAAGAGCGCTTAAAATAACTGAAGGTGCCAAGTCTTTTGTATAGAAGGATTCGGGGCGACCTTATTCAAGTCTACAAATATACGCATAACCATTATGACACTTAAACCTGTTTCATATTGAGGAAGAAAGTAGAACTCGCGGCCACAACTTAAAATTGTTAAAGAGCAGAGCAAAAAACAAGGAAAAGGTTTTTCAGCCTGAGGATCAACACTTTAGGGTGTAAGCTAAAATCTAACATTGTAAATCCAGACAGGCTAAATTTATTCAAGAATCATTTGGAAAATTTATTTGGAGAGAAGAAACTCTCTGTTTGTAAAGAAGATATTTTTTCAATAGTTTAGATTAAGACAACAACATTATCTTTTTGAAAAAATACATTTTTCTATCAGTTGGGTGTTACACTTGTTATTATTTACAGTTTGGCTTGGCATGAGTGGTCTGTCAGTATAATGGTCTGTCCAGGTCTGTCCAGAGTGAAGGCACTCCAAAGTTCTGTGACTGGCTCTTAGCCTTTAGCACAGCTTTAGTATTAACAGTTCGTTGAACCCAGCACGAGGGCGTGGCATAGCTAGAGGGTGTGCTTGGGTTAGCGAGTCCGAGAGGCGGGGTTTGAGCAGGGACTGTGCCCTCTTAATTATATTTCTGACCACATTAACATCTTTCAGATGACAGTAACTCCAAATTTTATTTCAGAATGTTGAAATTATTTGAAATCCATAAAAAACTGCCTTCTCGTTAGCTTTGATAATTAACTACACAACTGCATTCAAATGCGGTGATGGTTCACCAACACTTTTTTTTCTCCATGACCTAAAATCTTGCTCGTTAATCTTTCTATAAACTTTTAGTGACTATGAAAAATGAACTATTTGATTCTGAATATTTTGCATTTGATTTGTTATTTTCTTGATTTAATAACCAGAGGCAAAAAGAAGATGGGGTCATTGTGTGCAAACTTACCCCTCTGAGAGAAGCTGCCATTTTATATTGTTTGGGCATATCTGGAAAACTGCCTTCAAAATTCATAAAATGTGAAGACATTCTTCATAATAAATAGGCTTTAAATCGTGAAAGTTTCCAGTGCTTTGCTTCTAGATCTCTAAAGAGTTGAATCATTATTGCCCTTAACCGACAAATCCAAGAATTGAGTCCGCTTATTTAAATTTCTAGCTACCCTAAAACTTCACATTTATAATAATTCTCTACAACAAAAGTTGATAAAATTTTCCAATTTTAAAATAAGAGTTCTTCTTTAAAAAATGTAAATTCTTTATCGCTTGTAGCAATGTTCTATCATGGTTCCATGGACCTTTTTAAGAGTTAGGACGATGATTGAACTGGATGAAGAGTGGAGGGACATATTAATAGCAAATTCGGAGATTTTCTCACCAAAACACATTTGGATAAACTTTCGAGCAGTTCATATGCTGTCTGGTTGAAATAATAAAATTTGCTTGTTGCGAGTAAATAAAAAGATCGTTATTATTGGAAGATTTTAATTTCCTTTGGATGCTATTGTGTTTCGTTGTAATTTATAGCAAGCACATAAGTTTCTCTTACTTCTTTTTTTGCACGAAAAAACGATAATGCAACAGGAATCTTACATACAGTTAAAGCACAATTCGTGTTTGCCTAGTTTGCTTTTAAGGCTTTGGGTAGAGCCGGTCCATTTGCTCGCATTGTCTGGTCTGGTACATTTTTACTGAGCAATATTTGCCATTAATCTGGGCTTTGAAAGAAAAAGTGTAAGTTATTATTGTATCCACTTATTCCAAAAATCTTCCTTCAGAAAATCTGACATGATTAAGTTTTTTGGACTAATCCTCTTCTATCAATCAGTACTTATTATTACTTACTTTTGCATCCCATCGAGTTCATCTTTATTAAGTGGCTGAAATCTTGCAGAACAGGCCTTGTCTCAGCTGAGCTAATCTGGAACTAATCGAGTACCCGCTACGTTCTCAAAGAATGCAATGTTTAATTTCTGTTTCTACCAGCAATATCCTAACTAAAATGTTCACAATTAAATCAATGTATTTTGGAATCGAAGCTATTGCTTTGCATTTCCTCGACGGCAGCAGATTATGAATCCAGAAAAGCACTAGCTCTGTTTAAATGCAGCATTATGGCCATTGTGACAATCATATATCTTTTACCACTTCACAACGTCAAACATACATACAATGATATCCTCCTACGTTTCTAGTGCAGAGATGAATCTTTAAGAAAAACTCGTGTTGAAAATACTTTACTTTGCGTCTTGTTGAAAGTGCGACGATATATTTCTTGCAAGTGCGGCAAGTCTCCTAGAATATTTACGGTGATGCGTCTAGCCTAGCTTACTGTACGTCGACTTGTTATCTTGGTTATGACGACGCATCTTGTTGCGAATGTACGACCCTTCTTGTTTTTTACACGACGACGTGATACGTTGTAAATATGATGACGCGTCGTGTTATATGGCCAAAGGTACTCTTTTAAATTGCTTTATAAGTGAAGGGATAAAAAATGCTTTTCGTGCTACTAATAAATACAATTTTTAAAGAAAAGTGAGAAAAGTACATCAATGGACCCAGGTTTCAATATATTTCTGAAGGACTTTTGTTTGTTCTTTTACTTTTAGTTATATTTTATTTACTTGTTCCTTTGGAGAATTTCAGGGCTGTTGCCCCCAGAGTAGTTGACACTGAAAAATCTCATTAAAAAGATTTCTAAATAATCGTATCTGCCTTGTTACTTTATATTTCCTGAACTTATAAATGATTTAAAAAGAAAAACGATTATGTTTTAAAACCGCAAATATTCATTACTATCAAGATAAGGGGAAAACTGAATCTCAAACTTTTCTCTATAGTATTAAAAAGCCATGACGGAAATTCAGTTTCTTGGAGAATTTTCGGTCAATGACTGTTTAGGTTTGGTGAGCAATATAACAATTGTAACTAATTGATAAGTGAAAAAGCTCCGCAACTTTTGTGGCATTTCCTGTGAATATTGACAATAACCCGTGATGACGTAATAAGAGAATTTCAATTATGACGAAGTGTTTCCTTGAATTTCAAAAGTGTTTCTTTAGTTGTTTTGCATCGTTTATACAGATGCAGCGCAGAATGTGATGGAAACCGAAAGGAGCCTTTAAAGATTTAGAATAAATACTCGAATAAAGTATGCCAGCCATACGATTAACAATAGAGTAATTCACCTCATGAAATTCCGATCTCCGGCTATTCTAGAAATGGTTATTGCACTACACTTTTAATGACTTACCGTAGCCAATGTGTGTGCGAAACAAACTTGTACATGCGATGAAACCTATTGTATAAAGCATATGTGATAGGACAGTAGAAAAAATCAAATTTTAGCTCAATTTTGCGCTTCCCTTTTTAAACTCCTTCTCAAAATATCTTCAACTTTCTTAAAAATCAATATTGATTCTAAATATTATTTTCAAAAACAGTCTCCGAAGAGCATCAACAAATTGCCGGTAGGTGAATAATTCTCTAGAAGTGGTCATAACAAAAAAATTTATGAAATTTCAACGGCAAAGAAGTTGACCAATCAGAAGGCGCAGTTTTGAGATCATTCTGAAGGAGAGTCGCCATGTTTATGGTGAGTTAAAGGAATTGATTAGCATTGCTGACAGATCGTTTTAGTGACCTATATGTTGACCATGAACACCACAATTTAACTGTCTGAAGCTGTGGAAAGAGAAATATAACCTCGAAGATATCGCTTTTGGTCTGCCAGTTTCGATCGAAGTTTGAAGATGGATGGTGAATTTAGGACGAAGGCCGAGGAACGGACTCATCTCACGAAAATTATTAAAGAATGGAACGACAACAGATTAGATATGTTCGCGCTAAGCCTGCCAGATAAGGTATGTGAAATTATCTAGTCGATTTATCAGGAAAATAATGACATTGTTTCTTTCTAACCGTTTAATATCTCGCTGATTACAGTGTTTGCTGGACTAATGCTTTCCCAAAGGCAAAGCGGATGGGCCTAGTCAGCGGGAGTGGGCTGTATCCATTAGCCCTGTAAAACGAAAAGTAAACACTGTATATTAGTAATGTTATGTAGCTAGAGTTTGACAGATACTCTACTTTTCTTCAATTACTTGTTCTGTGAATTGAGTGAAATTGAAATGCGATTTGTCGATTCGAGGTTGCTCTTGTCTTGTACTACGAAGCAGTAGCCAGTAGGAAAAGTGAACGAATCTCTCTGCCTGCTCTATAAACGTTTAATTTGTTATCTTCAACTTGTTATTAATATAAGGCAAGCTCCTGTTTCCTTTTTTTATGAAGCTCTTTAAGGTATGTTGTTGTTTACTTTGTGGCATTTTGTCTGGCGTAGTTTGGATCACAGTTCATTTGCTTTTGAGGTGTGTCCAGCATTTGCAAATGCGTTAGTTAAACACGTATGATTCCATCGTTGCAGTTTATTGTAAATATTGATTTAAGAATGGAAGCGAGCTGACAGGTCAAAATGGTTTTGAGGAAGTGGATGGAGCCCTGGCTTTTACTTTGGGGCTAACAAAAAATCATAATCACCATCATAAAACCTAACTTTATTCCTGAAACTTGCCAGAAGATTTTTCAATTGTTGGTCATTCTAAATCTTGCAAATGGTTGAATCACCCAAAATTTATTTGCAGATCCTTAATATGTTTGTAGAGTTTACATTGCGGACAGCATCATTTGATACCTAATATATATATTTATATATATATGTATAATCATTAGATATCTAGACATCATTATAAGTTGCTATGTTGTATGTGTCTATTCACAATTAATTTGGAAAGTCAGATGGTCTTGGATACAGTCTTGATTTTTTCACATAAAAGTTTTCCACAACATCTGAATGGCTGTATGGTAAAAGAGCTTCACCTTTTGTGAATTATTATGAGCAACGGTATATCAATATATATATATATAATGAAATTGGAAATTCTTTTGAAAAAAACTGTATAGCCCTGACCAAATGCACGCCACATTTCACTCCACAGCACTCAATATATTATTGAATCAAATTTCAAGAGCATTTGGCCAAGTTGTTGCGAACACTTCATCACATATGGGGGGGGGGGCAAGCCTATTGTTTTAGCGAGATTGCATTATATTTTCCCATTGTTTTAGAACAAAAGACCATTGTCCTCCAAAGTTTTAAGGGGTGACTGCCCTTATTGGCCCCCCTCCCCCAGGTGTCCCCACTGCTTGTGTAGCATTGTTGAGACCAATTTGAACAAGTTCAAAATTTTTGAGAGGTAATGCTTGACATTTATATTGTTTTAGGTGTTGTTGAACATTGTTGAGAACGTAAAATTGTTTTTTTATGTATTTTTATGATGTTTTTAAATGCTTATGCTATAAAGGCTATAATGTAAAGGTTAAATTAAAACAATTAAACACCACAATCAAATCAAGCAATTTTATTAAAAGTAACTCTAATTAATAAGATGTAACATAGCATTAAATTAATAGTAAATTTGGTTGAAATTTACATTCTTTTCAGTCATTCAGCATTTTTAACTTACAGTAAAGAAAGATCTAGATGTTAGAATCATTCAGGGACTAGGAACAAAAAAGGACATTTGAACAAAAAATATATTGAAGATTTAACCAAAAATATTTATTTGCTTCAAGTCTCATTTCATAAAGCCGTTCATTGCCTACAGTTCCACAATATTTCAGAACATCAGAAGGTGCATTCTGATAAGGTCTTAGCTAGAAGTAAACACTGTTCTCTGTGAGGTAGCCTGATAAGGTGGTGGAAATGAGCCTAATCTTGCAATGAGTATAATATCAATAAGAGGATCAAATTCAGAAACAAAGCAAAGTGACAACGAGAATCCAATGTTGTCTGATGAAGTCCTGTATGCCAGGGCAAAATATTAGTATTAATTTAATTTAATTTATTTTGGAAAATTTGTTTCACAACATTGGATTCTTGTCGCTGTTTTCTTTGATTCTGAATTTTATCCTTGTATTTATGTTTGTACTGTTGTCAAATTTAGATAATATCTCCACCCATGTTGTGATGTTTTTGTAAGCCTCGTGCCGGCCTTTTCATTTCATGTTACTCAAATTGTTACTCATTAGCGGGAACAACAAATAATGATAATAAGCAACAATGATAACTGGACAGTAATGAAAAGAATTGCTATAATAAAAAGAGCTCTTGGTATTTATTTGGAGGAAAAGCGTGAGACTGTAATAAAGGAGCCTCCAAGGAAGAGACAAGTAAGAATCTGAAAACATAGATAATGCAATCAGGGAGGATTAGGGAGAGAATTTTTCAACCGAGTTGGAGCCTATGTGATTCATACACTGAAGAAGAACTTTAAAAATTCGAACTTCTAGATGGTTCTTTTAATTGTTTTCAAGTTTTATTTTATGTTTTTACTTAGCTGGACAAACTCAACATATTTTCGCCTAAAAGTTACGGTATTCCCAAATGAAGGGTCAAGTTGTTAATGAAAACAAAGCATCATTTTCTCATTGTTGACATTATAAATCATTACATCAAGTATATTGGCTACAAACTAGCAGTAATCGCGCATTTAAAAAATCAAAGGTTAGGTAGTCGTGGTTAGATGATACCCTAATTCCCACTCAGGTCCTGAAGGACTTCGTTTAATAGCGAATAGTGTTGGACAGGCGATCGCCCTCCTAAGCTGGCAATTTATCGCCCTTGCTAACATTTCATCACAAAAAGGCCTGCCTTAAGTGTATGTATCAATTTATTCTTGGTAGTATGAATCCACTCAAAATAAAATGAGAAAAGACACAATGCATTGATTATTTTTATCCAAAAATTGATGAAATTTATTGAAAAAAGCAGGCAGGAAAATTGATTTCAACTTAACAGGAAAGCCACTACCTTTGTCCAACAGAACTATGGTTATAAATCATTGTTGTGGTTACAAACCATTGTCAAGGTATATAAAAATATTGTGCAAAGTGAAATCATTTGTTTTGTTGTATATTGAATACTTGTGGTAAGGGCATTACAGAATAAACCAATATCCATTTGAACTGAGGTTAAGTGTACTGAAATGTATATTGTTGTAGGGAAATTGTTGTTATGAGAGTTCTAATAATGATAATTTTGTTTTCATTCAATTTAAGCCATAACTTGGGCAGTGCCAGCTGTATGATTTCTTCAGATAGGAAAGTTTTAAAAAAGTGACCAAGGCTGTAATGTCTAAGAATTCCACAAGTAAAAATAAAAATCAAACATAAAAAATATCAAACAAGTTGTACAGAAAGAAAGAAGTTTCTTATTTATCAAGACATGAATTTCATTTATTCGGATCCATTCATTATTTCAAACCACAATGTTCAAATATGAGACAAGCTCTAGTTGTAAAAAAATCATTCTGTATTTCCCATTTAATTCAAGGTCGTGTAAAATATATGTAAATTTGTGACTTGTTTTAGTGACCTGATTTTTTAAGATTTATTTTTTTGGTAGACAAACAGAGTGAAGTCCAAAGGTAGAGTAGAGTAAGAAATCAAGCTTATCTCACACCTTTTTCTTTATGGTTTATTCACATTTTCATACTAGTATTGACCGTTATTTAATTTGAATATACCTCCCTTAATTTTTCTTAATGCAGTTGTAGCATCACTGAGCTTCTTTTGTTAACATTGCATTAACAAGGTATTTCAACCATACATTTTTAGGACCTGGAATTTAATGGGGTGATGAGGTTCTACTTCCAAGGCAGTGATAACAAGGTAGTGACCAAATGTATAAGAGTTTCCAGTAAGACAATTGTTGCTGATCTCATGGACACGCTTGTAGAGAAGTTTTGTCCTGATCTCAAAATGCTGACACATTCAAACTATGAATTATTTGAATGTCATGAAAAAGGAGGTAAGGTTATATCTTTTCTCAATTTATCATTTATAATGGTGAAGTAAGGATTGTATTTTAAAAACAATGATGTTTTGCGATGTTAGAGCTTGACAGAAAGCAAAGATGAGGTGAGTCTAGCAAATTTTGACAAATGCTTATAAAGATATTCTGAGAGTGCCCCTGAAGATAATGTTACTTTAAAGAATAATGAGTATTTTTTTCTGCTGTGAAGCACTGTAATATTAGTGGCCCTTGCACAAACTTGGTGGAGACCTGATAATACAGCAGTCACATTGATAGAGACCAGATTTATTCTGACCATACAAACTTATCAGGTCAGACTTATGCAATTTCTGACTTGTATCTATGAAAAACCAAAAAGAAACTGAAACTGGACATTTAAATCATATAAAGTGCCAAAATGTAAAATGTTTATGGTATCAGCTAAAATAAAAAATAAACATACGTACATCATTGCATGAATGCCTGTAAAGTACATAAATTGTTTCTCAAGTTGTTTCTCAAGAAGGGTATTGGGATAAATGATTTATCAAATCTGGATTTTGTTGATAAAGTCCAATTTTATTTGATATCATTTTACTAAAGGACATCAAAAGATTTCAAATTTATAGTAAATATGAAACTTCATTGCATCCCACTTATGCTATAAAAATTGATAGCATTTGTAACAAATGATTGGGGGCCATTCATTTTGTCTAATTTATGAAATATCAATTTTAATGAGTCTGACTTCTTGAGGTTAAATATCATTTTATATTTATGTAGAGGTGGGTGTTGTCATTCCATGTTTATTGTGGTGGCATTCTCTATGGTATTTGCATTTGCTTTACTTTTCTCAGCATCATCCCAATTCTAAGTGTTACAAAGTGCCTCTATGGTTGGACCTAGCATTGTATCTAGACTGTCAAAAAAATGCTTGACTTCCTCATTTTGTTATCGATTTCATTTTTATAGAGGTGAAAAAGTGCAAGATCTTTAGTCCTAAACCAATTATATAATGCATGTCAGTTGAAATAAGATTTATTCCTAAATGATACATTGTTTTAAGTAGCAACAGTGTGAAGTGAAGGTGTAGAAAAAAAATATGCCCAAGATAAAAGATTGTTAAAATCGACTTTGTGCTTGCCAATGAATATGTCAATGACAAAGTCACATTGTACTCTCCAAGACTTTAATTGAGTAGTTGTTATGTTCTATGGTTATTTTTTCTTTTCTTTTTGTCAAAGCTTAGATACTTACAAATTTTTGTCAACCTCATTAAGTAGCTTTAGGGATATATAGTCTATGAAGCAACATTGATTAAAATTTTGTTTTTGTTTGTTTTTTAGACACAAGAAAGCTGGGTAAAAGTGAAAGACCACTGCTTGTCCAACTAAGCTGGCATAGAGATGACAGGGAAGGGAGGTTTTTGCTGAAAAGTGCCAGTGCCAAAGTTGCAAGTACCTTTTATCAAATAGGAAACGAAGACGGCCAGTTGAGAAGGCGTCTGTCGAGGCGAGAGAAAAAAGAAATGAAGAAGCAAAGAAAACGACAGGAAGCAAGGAGAGAAAAGGAGAACAAAAACCACGAAGATACGGCTATAGCACAACAGTTGTATGACGAGAAGCCAGAATCAAGCCTGACTAGGAGTATCTCGAACCCAGAGGCTGTTATGAAAAGAAAGCGGTTGCAAAAGATCCAGAATCGCTTAAAAGATTTCAAAGCGGAAGAAGGGCAGCGAGGGGGAACGCTTAAAATTTTCGCTGAAACCCTCAAACCGGAAATTCCGTATAAAACTATTTTAGCTTCAGATAAGCAAACCAGCGATAAAATTGTCCAAGATGCATTGGAAAAGTTTCAGTTAGAAAATGAAAATCCAGCAGAGTATTGTTTGGTTATGACTGAGATACCCCCTGGAGAAAATCCGGGTCCTGGAAGGGACAGTGTGGTGAAAGATTATGATTGTCCGCTTGCTATCCAATCAAGCTGGCCAGCCTCACGGGGTTTTTTGACATTTCATCTACGAAAAAAGAACACTGTCTCTGGTTTCAAGAAAGAAACTAAAGCTGCCCAGAAAAAGGCCAAAGATACACAAGCCGATAGAAAAGCAGCCGCGAGGCTGGCACTTCAAAGTGAGACAGACCCGGAACAAGAATTGCCTTATTTGACCGAAATAATTCCAGATGAGACAAAGAGTAATTTCAAACCAAGGGTTCTTAAAATCTTGCCAAATCTTACTGTTATCGGTAGCAGCAAAGTGCCGACGGCTGAACAGTATATTCAGCTGTATGCATTGGACATTCTTCCGGAACATTGCTTCCTGGAAAATATCGATGGGGAAGTGACAATAACGCCTACAAACGCAGATGCACTGATTCTTGTAAACGAGAACAGGGTATACGAAACCACAACACTAAGTCCTGGGTCTGTGATTATTTTTGGGCACTCGCTAGTTTTCCAGTTCAATGAGCGTAGCAGTGGAAGACTGACGCCTCCAAACGTCAGGGTTCGTTCTCCTGCATCTGGAAGCAGGTCGCCAAACGAATCAGCACAGCTCAGCAACTCAATGAGGTGATTACGCTTTGTGTAATTGACAGTTATTTTACAAGGCACTATATCCCGACGCATTTTGCTGGCCAGTTAAATTCCCATTGGTTAGACTATACAATAGACCTTTAGTTGAGGAGCCAATCGGCTTATCTTCAATGTTTTGTCGATTCTAAACACGCTGCAAAGCCTATTGCTAACTCTGAACACGTGACTGACGGGACTTAGTGCCTTTTATTGGTGGTTGAAAATATTTCGTATTACGGTTACATAGAATTATTTCAAAAATAGAGAAAATGATAGAGAACAAATATGATATATGCCACACTAAACAAAGCTATCTCATACATCATTTTATATTAAACCCAAATTGTTTCAAAGGGGAGAGGAAGATGGCTGAATTCACTACAACTTGCAGTTGGTACTGTCCCAATATGTCTGGCAGTCACAGTAGTACCGACTAAGAACTTGTGTTTTACCGTTTTCTAACCCTGTCACACCGTAGTTTTCATGTTTTCCTTTGGCGTATAACGATATTCACTGTCTCTCTTTCCAATTTTTTGCTTCAACTGTCCGTCTAACAGTCCTGTTTTGTGGGCTTTCTATTCTTAACTCATTTCCAAATATTATTTGTTACTACCGAAGGTAATTTTAGGACACTGAGAAGCTGCGCTTATCGAGCAGTGACCAGGTCCTTCATCTCGATTCGACCACACCTCGTGATCCCTACGCCTGGAATTGCAGTGAGCTGGCAACTCCCCTTACTCTGGGTATCGTCAGGGACTAGAACCATGGGAAGTTTCTCAAATATATTCAATAAACAACTCTGCTTTCACTACACGAATTTTTCCTTCTGATTTTCAGCCCTGTTATGAGGGATGAGCGACCAACGTATTCGCCAATGAAGTTTGACCTCGACGAGCTTCCTGGGAGCAGGGTTGATGATGAAATGATGGTAGAAACGACCTTTTTACCTGATGGTGAGATCGCATCTAGTCCTGTGAGGAAAACAGATCCAAGTGTGAGTTGATTGATTTGATAAATTTAATCTTTTCTACGTCAATCCGCTGAGTCATGATTTTCATGACTGCGATACTATTGGTTGACCTTAAACTGGTCACATGAACTCACCTCGTGCTGATTAACAAATAAGTTTCCATCAATAGCAAGTTGTCAACAATGGATGCAAATATCACATGAAATAGCAGCGATCACGCCGAAACCAAATGACCCACTATAGAGAAGGCCTATTTACCATGACTCAATGCCTTTAATTGCCAAACTTATTTTTTACAATAATTGCTTAATTTTTCCTAGAGCGTCATAAGTCACCTTGTTAGTGATTGTTAGTGTTAGTTTGTTAATGTTTTTAGCCGCCAGTTTTTGCCTTTTATCTCCATCTCAAGATCTTTCCTAAGTATTTCTATGGTCTATCATTGAGCAATGTTTTCTTTACTTGCATCCTTTTCCTGATTTTTCTGAATAGCAACAAACTCATTCTGAAGGTTTTTCTGTTAACTAGGTATATACTTTGTGTAATAGATTTTTGAATTCCAAGTAGCTGTCCGCATAACCGTTCGTCCCTATCTCATATGCGCTCAAAATTTGACATAGATAGTTAACATATTAACGCAATGAGAAGTCCATAACAAATTCCCGAAACCGGATTCAGTGAACCTACACATTTGATGTATGTTGTTCATTTGAAACTTCTATATACTATATACTTATTTTAGTAATTATTGCTTCCTTCTAATGACTCTTCAGTATTTTTTGTGAATCTAGTTCTGCAGATACTTAGCAATCTTAATGTAAAATATTGTAAAAACGCAGCCCCTTTTTTTAAGAACCTCGATTGACATCAAGCTGTCAAGTTATTGGTTCATATTTATGAAACTGAATAGTGAGACATATTGGCCTATTCTTTTTTTGTTACAAGCAATTTCAACTTTTCAACCATTTTCAAATGTCTCGCCATGGTTGTTCTATATGTCTTTTCAAGTGTTCCATTTCCTCTTCATTTTCCTGGAAATATGGGCGTCAGTTCCTAATATTGAAAAAACTAGATTGCCTTGTTCTTGTTACAGGGAGGTATACCGAATCGATCCTCCGATTCCATCGATCCCGACTACAATGGCGAAATGCGAGTTGGCCAAGACCTATCCGGACCTGGTAGCCCACAAGCTGATTATGGCCTGCCCTTGCTGCCTGCAGCCCTGGAGTTCATTGACGATGCCCAAGACGCATTTTTTGCGGCAATCATAAGCGAAGTTAACGGCGCCGCTGTGCATTTCAAACTAGCCCCAGCCTACTCGCTATACCTTGCCTCTCACTACATGATATCACACGATTTTAGGCCAGAGCTAGGCAATGTTGAACACGCACGTGTTGTTGGGGCTTCAGCCAGAAAGATGGCTATAGCAATCGAAAAAACTGTACAGGTGAGGTTTATACATTTTAGATTTGCGTCGATATGTTGCAGGAAAAAGATATGAAAAGATATAGAAATAGATATAAAAAGATAAAGAACTTTCAAGTTTCAATACATTTTTGTTTGAAATACATAGCTTTCAATGCGTCCTGTTAAAAAGAAAGCAACAATTTAGACGTCTTATTTATAAATATTACCCAAAATCTTCGTAGCTCCACCTACTGGCGCGATCTAGGTTAGGGATGTTTCTTAATCAATGAGGTACTCCTAAGCAAGGCAAAAAAGAGCACGGAGAAAGTACACGAGATTTATTCCTTGCAATTAGCATTAGAGTCAATAATCTTTTTTTGAAGTTGTTATAATTAATGCAGCTCTGAGATGCGTATTCACCTCAAGGTTTGAATACGCTCTGGTTGTTACAAGGTAGAAGTTCTATGATTGCACTCAGCTTTTGCGCGGACTGTACAATTCTTACCCAAGCAAAATCCTTCCGTATGAGAGCTCAAGAAAAATAAGTAGTCTGTGTTAAGTTAATTTTCCATTATACTGTTTCAAACCGTTTTTGTTTTTACACGTGTTACTTCATCCATGCTTAAACACAAATGCTGCCCTTATCCAGTCGATAAGAAAAGATGGTCTGTTGTCACAAGGGTTTCCCTGGCACCCCTTTAGGGACAATACATGCTGTTTTCCCTTCATTTGTTTTTGAGTGCAGGTTAACTCTTGTCGTGACAGCGTTTCAAAAATCCTCTGTTTTGTATCGTTCTTATAGTTCCAATTGCAAAATATGAAGCTTTAAGCAAACATTTTGTAAAACCTTAAACATTAAACAGGGAATAATCTATTTTTCGTAGATAACAGCTAAAGCGATTTTATCTGAGAGAGTTAATTCTACATTAATGATACGATGATAAATTACCCAAATTCTTGTGAAATTATTGCAATATTTTTTTTAGGAAAACGATGCGTTTGCAGGCAGCCTTGCGTTCTGGATGGCCAATGCATCAGAGCTGCTTCACTTTCTCAAACAAGATACTGAACTATCTCCGTTGACACAAAATGCACAAGGCATACTTGAAAAGTCCGTGCAGCATGCTTTTAGGTTTGTATTTTTGATGTAAATCACTTTGAAACGATTATTTAGAATCCTGTCTTTGATCATGAAGCAATTACAGGCCCATGTCCAATCCTTCGTCACAGGATCACCAAAATTTGTATTTACTTAATGTTAGTCTATTTCCTTCAAAAGTTTCGCTTAGCAAACTATTTTCCGTTTATATTTTATCTTTTTGTTTTTCGCTTTTCCTGCTTGCTTTTTGTTTACATTATCATCGCAAGACTCGTATAATCCAGCGAACAGCATGACGAGGATCACACATTTAAAACAAATAAGAAAGAAAATATGTGTTTTTCTGGTCCGTCACAAAGTGCTTGATATCATATAGGCAGAGCTGTACATGCTATTTGGTTTATAGAACAGGACCGTTATAAGTTGCTACTCCGAGTTTTACAGTTAATATGCTCATTAGCGAACTGCTGTTGGTGATCTCACGAAGCTTGAAACTCAGAGCTACAATTTGAAACCATCCTGATCTACATACCAAAGCGATGTAGAAAGCACGCTAAAAGATCACATAAAGATCGAATGCCCCTAGCGATGCTGTTCGTTTCATATGCACTTACTGCCTTCAAATGCAGCAATTTAAGTGGTATTTATAGTCTTCAGATGAAATGACGATGATCTTGTTTTAGATTACAATTTTTCCTTGAAAATGAAGTACCGTAGACGAGCTTAAATTTGGTAATCTGAAAATTTGAATCTAACCAAAATGTGTTTTAATCCAGGCTACTTGTTCTTGCAATGGAAGACCAACTTGGTTTAGCAATGTCAGCCTTCCTTGATCCATCTGAAACGGCAGATATCCCAGAAAGTGAACTCGATCATATTTTAGAGGATGATCTATTAGAAAGAGCCGAATCTTCCGACCTGCTGAATTGGACGAGTGACGAAAGAACCTTCCCCGTTCATGATGGCAGACCAATTACCGGAGAGCACTGGGTTAGCCCAGGTATGTAGACTCATCCGGTGACTTAGAACGAACTTAGGTCTGTGTACTTATGTGGCATATCAAACACATGCCCATTTCCAAACCAGGGACATTTTGATGCAAACAGTATTTCTCCGCCAATTCATTGATGATAATGTTTGGAAGGAACATTTTTTTCTTTTTTGCTATAATAGATTTATGCATAATCATGCAGTTCAAAATCCTTATCTGTGCAGAGAGACTGTTTTCACGATTGGGTATCTAACTGATCTTTAATCTGCATTCGTTCATGGAGGAAGAAACCAGAGCATAAAAACCAACCCGACCGGGCAGTCGCAGGAAATTTTTCATGAATAAAGTTAAGCAGGAATTTTTTTTAAAATATACACTTTTGCAAGAAGGATTTTTTTTCATTTTCATCAAAAGGAAAAAAATATGATGACAAACAAATTTAGCTCCCATTCTCGCAGGAAATTTATGCATGACCTTTGTCTGGTCGCAGAAGGGAAATTTTTTTCATGCCCTGGAAGAGACTGTATCATGTATGGAGTCGTGGACAAAAGTTCTTTCACTGAGTATGAAAAAACCCTCGACGCAGCCCTAATAGAGGACCTCATAAGTCAATGGAAAAAAGCTCTTCAAAATTTTGAAGTCTAAACTTGCAAGAAACAATCGTTTTTTTATCATAATTATTATAATTTTTCGTTTTACCTTTTCACTCATAGTAGCTTCTCAGTTAATGGATTTGTTCATACGGGACCATGCTAAAATACGAAATATATTAAAATTTCGGAAAACGCAGCTTAATAATAAAATTAATATCCAGTACGACGACGAAGAAAAAAGACATCATGTATTCGTCAACTTCTCGCTACATCATAGACAATTCCAATTAAGACAAATCCATTAAGACTTTAAGAAAGTTCCAATTTAGGCAATTCCATTACGACAAGTCCATTAAATTAAATTGAAAGTATTATATATTATATATTAAATAAACAAAATATATTAAGCCAAAAAACAACGATGCTAAAGAATTAAACTCTAAAAGTAATTGCAATAGTGAAAATATTATATGCAAGTATGTTAGCGAAGAGAATTAAGGAAAATCAAGTTTCTTTATGAACAGGTTATCCACATTAGGTTGACTGTAGTCTAATTCTTTAGCATGTTCTGGTAAAATTTGAGTATCTGATTTGTGTTGCTCATTTATATGAGAAGGGCGTCTTATAATCCTCTAGAGAAAAACATGCAAAAATCTAATTAAAAATCAGGTATTATAAAATTATAACACTTGCCATATCGATAATAATTCTAGAAAAAACACGATCCCTGAGAAGACGAGCATGAATAAATTTTAATTGATTGCAAAGTTGAATTCCCTTCTTTTACATATTGCTTCACCTTTTTACCTTGTTGCCTCACAGCCGCACGAATCCACCTCCACGGCCGCCCTGTCATGGCTGATGTCCTCTACATCCTGTCGTCAGCAATGTCTCTTTTGCGAAGATGCCGGGTCAATGCTGCCTTAACTATCCAACTATTCTCACAGCTCTTTCACTTTATCAACATGTGGCTCTTCAACAAGCTCGTATTGGAAACAAATCTCGGTTTGTGCACAAAAGCGTGGGGCAGGCGTCTTAGACGAAGGCTCGGCTATGTAGAGGCCTGGGCCGAAAAGCAGGGTCTCGAATTGGCTGCTGATTGCCATCTCTGCCGAATTGTCCAGGTAACACCTTTAGAGGCATTTGACATGCATAAGTACAGCGAATCCAGAAACAACTTTGAAAAACAGAAACTGTTTACGGGTTTTTTCTCTGTGCGCAATTTGATTGGTCAACCGCTCATGGTCAAGTGACTGTGAACCACTTTGACCTGTGTCGTATGCCTTTAATGATTGAAGGTTTAGCTAACAACAAAGCCCCAGTCAGAATAAATTTAGCGTTACCTGTAAGCAGAATACGTTCGTTTTTTCCTTTAGACTCCATTGATAAGTAAGTCACCGCACTGTGGTAATCTGATACATCAGTTTCAGTTCTACACATTGTCAAGGTTAACTTCAATTTTTATATGCAGCAAGTACCTTAAATAAAGTACCGTTTCAAAATCCTCATATTTTCAGATCCCCCTTTCGCTTCTGTTGTATAATTTTTGTATCCCCTTAAACGCTTGTTTTCATATGACAAACATTTTTGGAAAGGGATTCCCAGTATTATAGTTAACATAAAAATTTCCTTGTATGCTTATTGCTCTTATAATTTCTTGAAATAAGAAAAGTTCCCTTGATTCATTAAGACTATTCATTGCCAGTGTTTTCAGGAATCTAAAAGTTTTTTTACAGCCGCTTTTATTTATGAACAGGCAGCCCACCTCTTGGATGCCCCAAAAGAATCTGCTGAGGACATCGCCTCTATATCCTCAACGTGCTTCAAACTCAATTCATTGCAACTGAGGGCTCTTCTGGAAATGTACAGACCAGATAGGGGCGAGCATATTATCCCTCCGGGTCAGTGAGGTTTTTTTATTTCTCAAATCTCTTCGTCGTGAATTTTGATGGTTTGATGGTTAGCTAATGAATAATGTTGCACATTTTGCAAGACAATTCGCGTTCGTCAAAAATTTTGTTCGCATCAAATATTTTTATTGATATCATTTTTAATTTCAGTGATTGTCTTCAGTAATTTCAGTGGATCGGAAAAAAGTAGAAAGGATCAAAGGAAGGAAAAAAGTCACTGCAAAATGAGGCAATTCACGAAATGCCATGTCGCATATAGTTTGCCTTTCAAAAATCAAATTGCTCTTTTAAAAAAAACTCTAATGTCTTAATGTTTTAAAAGGCGAAGGATAGGGGAGGGGTAACATAATAAACATCCTTCCCAACCTCCCTGGTGAATTAACATCTTGTCAAAGTAAGAACGGATTTTTGTTAATGATAGCGGGCACTGTGGCTCGACGTGAGGCTGGTGAAAATCGCATTCCGTTGATAGCCCACTTCTTTTTTAGAATTGATTGACAACGTAGTGACTGTGGCGGAGCACACAGCCGATGAGTTAGCCCGTAGTGACGGGAGAGAGGTTCGCCTCGATGAGGACGAAGAGCTTCAACTGCCATTCCTGTTGCCGGATGAAGGGTATTCCTGCGATATTATCAGAGGTGTGCCCGCAGGACTGAAAGAATTCCTTCAATCTCTGATGGAGACAGGTAATCTTAAGGATCCCTTTAAATCTACATATGTCCATAATATATCCAAATATTAGCGTTACAAAGCTGTAAATCCATGGCTTTATATTGTTTTGTGGTAATGAGTTGCATTTCCGTGGTATTTTGTGCCGTAATTTTTCCCTTTTCCACTGCCCTGGCGATATGTTTCTCAATCTTCAAATAATTGAAAATCTTTTCAAACGAGCACGTAAATTTTTATTGATAGGGCAAGAACTCTTTTCCCTGTATGTACACGGTACCCGTATGGTAATAATAATGATAATAATCAAATCATTTGGTGCTTCATGTTTACAGTATATAATATTCGAGCTAATTCAAACCATGGAGACAATGTCTTCAGTTATTTAGCTTAAATACACCAAGTTCCGTCAGTCAACTTTCAGAGTTGACAATAGAATTGGCAGCGCGTTTTTGATCGAGAAAGCATTAAGAATTACTTAGTCTTTCGTTGCCGATTGGATACTTAACAATAGGCCTATTGTGTAGTCCAACCAATGGGAATTTAAATGGTCAACGAAATGCCTCGTGACATAGTGCCTTTAAGTTGTATTATAAATTCCTTCGTCTTTTTGGCCTAATTAATCCCATTTTCATGCAGGTATTTGTCGGCTGACTGTAAACCCAACGTCGTCTGGTCTCTGGACTGTACATCAAGAATATTACGATGGTAAGCTGAAATCTTAATTTTTAGATGGGAGAATTTAAACAAGGCTAGCTTTTAAAGTCATTCAAGGACAATTAATTGATTTTATGAGATTGAAAATTCTATTTTCATATCTTTGATTATAAAGCAATTGTACCTCTTCATTGCGCGCGACGAAGGCGCAAGCAAAATTTTAGTTGTGTCAGTTTTACGTCAGCCGACAGCACACATTTGTAAATACTGCTGACAAAGAGTTTTCCGATGTCACATTCTTATGCCCGCACTAGCTTACTGCCCGTTACTTCAAGTAAAATGTTGTAAATTCATTTTTTTGGAAATTTTGTCACATAGATACCCCCTGTCTTGTAGCCCATGTGTCTTCTAAAGGGAATGTCGTCGTAAAATTCTATTTTCACAATCTTGCTCAAAGTGTTTAAAAATTTACAGCCATTATAAATACCACATCAATGTTTACGATATTCATATATACTCTCCAAATAGATCAAAGCGAAAGTATTTCGAAAATATTTTACACATGCCGAGAATTCATTTTTCATTTATTTTGAATATTGATTGAATATGAATTTTTCTCCCTTTTCTTGCATATTCGAGGATCGTGTTTTCTTATCAGTTCAATTTTTGTCAGTTTTTCGTGTGAATTATTGTCTGGAATTTTTGGCAACACGGGGCCGGCTGATTACGTAGTCGGCTCAATATTTAGCCTGCTTCTGTAGTTGGCCACGAATGAGGTCACTTCAGCGTTGCGTTTAAAAAGGCCGCTCAAGTGACCTAATTCTTATGACTTGTGCAATGTTGCTGTTTAAAAAGGATGGCTGACATCACTGCTACATAAATGATTGGAACTTTACGTCATTTGCTGTGCAAAATTAATCTCCAACAAAAAGTATCTGTATTTTTATCATAGCAAACAACAAAACCAAATCTACAAACGCAAACTCCAACCTGATACCCCAACCAATAACAATACTTTAATTTTCGGCCCCAAAACGTTAGTTGATTATTTGCAATTCAATGTTCGCCTTCGTACCACGCATCGACGCCCTCTTTTTAGAGCCATGAAAATATTTGTCAGGGCATAACTGTGTACAGGAAGCTGGTCGTGAATTTGCCGGCCAAATTTCAATAATGACGCTTACCTTGATGGCCTCGTTTAGCCGACCCCGTGTAAACGCAGCTTTAATTTCTTCTTTTTTAAATGGAATACGAGTATCTACACAAACTAAAAAACCTCAAAAAGAATATTAGAATTTAACTAAATATTCAAAATATATACAATATAAAAAAATTTAATATTCCGCATCCTTAGTTTTTACTTGTGATTACTGAAACATAGTCTTTTTTGTATTTAGTATGTTAAATAGATCTTTAGGAGACTTCTCCTTGACCTGCTAGAAAAATGAGAAATTTTATTAAATATAAGCGAAAAGCGCAATAAATAGAACTGTCTCCAAAGAAAATCTTTGTCAGCCAAAACCTTCGAATTTCTTTTTTCCAAAGTTGCAACATGAAAAGCTGCTCCTCGTAGAAGCATGACACTATTTCTCCAGGCTCTCTAATGAAGGGAATCCTTGTACTCGTCTGCTGCTCCATAAGGATACCTATGCAATTCAATCTAGATTGCTGTACCTGCAAATCCTCACCTGTTGACAAAACATTGTCTCGTTCATAGCTTTTGGTGGGCCTAAGTACCAGTGAAAACGGCAACGTTTTAACTAAACCTCATTCTTTAATGCAAGAGATTCCCTTCGTCTGTAGATTTTTTTAGCATTTAGTTTTGAAAGTTTGTAAAACACTTTATTGCCCGCTTTGTCTACTACAAACTCATTGAATATATTGCATAAGTTACACAATTTTCCCGCAATATTGTAGCGGAAAATGGATTATTTGAACCATCTTCAGAAATTTACTTTTAAATACAATTTTATATACGTGTTATGTCATTTTATTCCAGATGATGATCATGGGATACCGGTCGACTACGAAGAACAGGTACACGTGACTTTTTATTCGAATAAAGAATTTGACATCGCACCAATTGCTTTGCTCAAACTGTAATGTTTATTTTCTCAGGATTTTTTCAGAGGAAGATAATAAAAAACGTTGAAGGGCCGTGGTAAAAGGCTCTGCATAATCGTACAAGGAAGCCGAATTTTATCATCATTTCCTTATGAATTGTTTTCTCAAGTGTCACACAGTATCCCATAGAGATTTATTTTCATATATGGAAGGACCCAAGAAGATTTCCCAAAAGTACCTAAGAAATATTTGGTAAAGTATCGCCAGCTCTAAGTGTTTTCAAATAATCATCATAAAGGATGATAAAAAGATAACTGATGAATTCCCACAAGAGTTATGATTCATAAATAGTTCATATGGGGAAACAATGATCTAGTTCTCAAGGGCTTTTATATGAGGGATGAGTTCAGGAGAGCTGGCGGCAAAATACACGTGTATACTCTATCAAGGTCATGAATTGTAGATAGCCGCCATGTACGGAGGACATTTCCACTTTGGAGCGAAAATCAAAGCACAGTGTGTTTTAAAGAGATTAGGTAGACATTTAGCTGTTAGACACCGCCAACAGAGTAGAGGTGACCAATCTGTTCTTTGGACATTTCGGTCTGTTTATGAACAGAATAACTTAAGTTTAACTTTCCAGTTGCTGCCGTGGATGTTGTACAAACTTGTTTTGTTTTTCAGGAGAATGACATGGACGCAGAATCAAAGACTATTGAAGTCACGCTACAGAAGGGAAGCAAAGGTCTTGGATTAAGCATTGTTGCTGCGAAGGTGCTTTTTATTTTCATCTTTTTTCCAACTCAAAAGCTCAGCCTGAACGAGGCCATTGGTTTGCCTTTCGCAATATTTGTTCAGCTATGGCTCATAAACGTATTTCTTGTTGGCTTTTCCCCTGGCTCTCTTAGTTTCCACTCTGTCCCGAGAATTTTTGTTTATATGTTTGAAGTAAATTAGTGTTCACTGTGAATATCATTTGTCTACACTTTGTCCTCCTATTTAGACACAACCATTTTTCTTGTTAATTTTATGATTTTTAGTGCTAAACGAAAGTCTCAAAATATTTGTATCTTTCACTTCTTGAAGAGAACTTTATCTCATTGGGCGACCCTCTTCCGATTTTTTTGCTTGCCATGCCAAACTTTGTTCCTGTTTTCAAATTTTTTGAATTGGTCTCATATTTAATAGATTCTCGTTTGCAAATCAAATTCCAATTTACAGACATCTCCTTGGAACGTTTTGTTTTCTCTGTTGCTACATTCACTGCCAAACATCTTTTGAAAGCCCATTTGCTTAAGTTTTGTTTTGAAGAAATTAACTGTTTTTTTGTAAACGAGACCGACACCACACCCTCTCTCCCCCAAAACAATGCTTGCTTTGGAGTTAAATATTATAGCTTTCTAAAATTAATACATTTGGCCCTACCGAGCCTCTTAACTTTGTATATAGCAGCATTGTTGGGAGGGGGAGAAGGGGATGCGGTATAAAACACCCCAGAATGTAGTGTAGTGTACCCCTTTGTTTAACAGACCTAATTTTCTTTAAAGAAGGCTCATTTTAAGAAACTTTTTTAGGTCTGAAATTAAAAAGTTTCTAGCTTTCAAGTATGAACAGTCGTATTTTATGTTTTCTGCTTATGCTCTAGGATGGTTATAGTATGTGTATTCTATTAATATGAAAAATCATGCTGTAGATAAATTATCATAAATTACTACCAGTAATACTGTCTCAAATGCGGGTACTTATTGTGATCGATATCATTAAACATGACTTTACTACTAATTCGTAAAATTTCTAACTTGTATTGGGGATTTGTTTGCTCGTTAGTGATTTGATCTTCGTTTTATTTTGATTTTAGACTAGATAGAATAAAGTAACAGAAGCTTAATAAAGAAATTATAAGAGAATACTTTTGTTTAATGTTTTTAAAATTTTAAATGGTTTTTTGCAGGGTCCCCACATGGAGCATCTAGGTATCTACATAAAAGGTGTCGTAGAAGGTGGTATTGCCTATCAGGTCAGTAATTCATGTTCCATTTACACTTATAGCTATTCACAAATCAGATATATAATATTTTTAGTCCAACACTGTATCTTCATCTCCGTGGATCATCAATATACCATATCCAAAAAAGTCAGCAACCCTGGAAGACTTTAAGGGACTGCTAAAAGATTTATATTTTCACCTACTAAGCTATCGAATTAACTTACTTTTACTAATAATGAAATTTAGAGCTAAGCCAAGCTAGAATTTTGTTTCGAAAAAACACCTTCCTGGAAGCTTTACGCCCGTGGGCCCTCTTTTTAGTTCTGCTCTGTTTTAAGATCAAGTTGATCCATTTTTGCAATTTTTTAGCCCGTGAAAGTTTTATACGCTTCCCTTAGGTTTAACTGCAAAAAGGATTACTTCCATTGCAATTTCTTCCTGTTTTCTATCAGTTGGGAATTGTTTGTCATCTTTTTCATAAAGCAAACACCTGGCCAGGTTTCTTTTTTAGTGCCATGCCATTCTCTGTATTTGTCAGACTTTATTCTAAAAATATCGTTATTTTCATGTAATTCCCTGATCCTGTGCGAAAGTAATTAAAACTTCTGTTTACAAGTGTAAAGATTAGTTTTACTCTTTCGTCCTTGCTGTTCTCCATTCCCTGTTCTCCATTTTCCATCTCCATAACTGATCATCGACTCATTCATCAGCATATATTTTGTTCAGTAGCTCTTGACTCGCATCCACATATAATATTAATCCTGTTTTCTTCTATTTCCGTCCCCATTTTCCCTTAACTTAATATGTATATATCTTTTTGGCACCTGCCACCCCACGTTGTTTATTAACTATTCCATTCCGGTCTTTATAAAAAAGATGCTATGATCACCCATGGTTAATCCGTGCTCCAGTTAGTGAACGAATGCTTCCTCAAATCTTATTTTAAATCTGAGAATAAAAAGCATAGCCAGAGTCTTCTAAATATTTTTAACCCAGCAAGGGAAAGATATTACAGTTCAAGGTATGGCTAGATATTGAAACAGATGGTACGTTAAGCATTAGTTGTTTTAAATTGCAAACAGAGTTGTCAAGAGCCCTCTGGAGAAGCCTAAATAGTTAACTAACCCAACGTCTTTTTGTGGAAGCGATTTATCAACATTACAATATCGAAATAATAAAAAACACAACGTATTGAGATTGGATAAAATATTTTGATTTATTTGTAGAAAATCAATGTTTTATAAAATAATTATGAAGAATGTGAATTCATAATTACAATACTCCTGTTGAATTTTTTTAAAAAATGTATAAGAAAGTAAACAAAAAGCAATAAGAAGAAGAAAAAGAAATATTTACATTGCAAAATTTCAAAATTTGAAATTATTTTATTCCAATTGCCTTTCCCCAGGCTTGACCGCTACTTTTCTGGGATCTTGAATTTGTTGGGTTGTTCGAGGAGACTGCTTCAGTTCTTGTATTTCAAATCGCTGCTTTGAAATCTTTATCCACCATTTTGGGGCCGGAAAAGTTTTCCATCTTCGATTTCCTGTCCATGATGATAGAAATAGTTTTGATCGTTTTTATTGGTTCTGACAAACCTTCAATGTTGTTGCTGATACCAGCAGGAAAGATGTAGAGCCGGTATTTAGTCCTGTCAGTTGGTTCTGACTTGCTACCGATGTTTCTTTGGTTACTAGGCGGAAACGTGTAACCTGGTACTGCTCAAAGGCTTATTACTAAAATGTCACTGCGCAATCACGGACTTCAGATGCTTCTGCAGTGTAGACAAAGCATAACATCGGCACTACAGTAAACATTAGACAAATCAATTTGTACTGGGTTTGTGCTTGTAGACCTCTCCATAGCCTTTTACTGTCCAATCCATGACCTGTTAATTGCCAAACTAGAAACAGATGGATAAACACGAAATGCCTCGATATTTATATAATATTATATTACTACTAGAATTCAACGAGTTAAAGTTAATGGGTTTCACAGCCCTTGGAAGGATACAATCTACCGAGTGCCGTAGGGATCATCGGATCTCTCTAGTTTTTAATTTACTAAATGGTGAGTAGAGGTGGTTCTTGGGGCCCATCTCTACTATAAGCCCCTTAGTTTCATCTATGACCATGATAACAAACCAAAACTCAGATTTTGGGATAGTTGGAGGGTCATGGCAGCCAACCTTCTGATAGAAGATGGTACCTGATGATGATGAAATGATGAATATGTTCAGTTCATAGTTGCGTCAGACAGCTTGATTTGTAACTATCTCTGTTTTTAAACGTGTTTTTAAACGTTAAACGTTTTAAACATGTCAAATGTGTTTTTTTTAACAAAATATCTGTGATTTAAATCCGATCGCATCTAAGAGCACCAAATCTCTTCTCAAAATACCCTTCTCGTTCTTTGATTAAGCATCTTTTACCTCATCCCTACTCCCTCCTGGGATATCTATTGTCACAAGATGGCCCGCGTCCATGCCAAGCATCACATTCTGATTTCAGTATGAAAATGTACATTTCAAGGTGACAACCTAATGTAAGAGCCTTGGATCTTTTAATTCCCATTGGAAAATCGTCAAGATTTTATCGGTATTATTAATGCGCATATAATGTATATTCCACACCTTTGTAAATTATGAATTGTATATTCCCCAGATTTTCTTAATTTCGCATTTTTTCAATAGAACGGACAGCTTGCTGCTGGCGATCAAATTATCTCCGTCAACGGAATGAGCTTAGTTGAAGTTTCCCAAGAGACGTAAGACATCCTTTGAATTGATTATGAACTTCCGTTGCATTCATTTTGCGGCTTCTTGATTTCTGAAGCCGTCCTCGTTGCCTGCTGCCAATTTGTTTTCCTTCAAACTTCAAAAGATCCCCTGTTACTGCAGCTGGAACCTAGTGTTTGCAATCAGGTAAACAAAACCTGTTTAAGGAAAACCTGCTAAACCTGATAAAGCCCGTTTCCACATTACTCTTAAAACTCTACGAAAAAGACTTTTCTAACTAAAGAACCTTTTCCTAACAATGAATTAATAGTATTGCGTTTATTTGGACAAAAACTCTAAAGTTATCTTCAGAAAGTGGACTTACTTCTTTAAGAAAAGAATTTACCCATGGGTGTAGGATATATGTAGGCTTAACTAGACACCACCATTTCTACATGTTAAATTTCTACTTCAGTGCTGCGAAACTAATGGGACAAACTGGCCCAACTGTTGTTTTGGAAGTCAGCAAGGATGCTGCTGTCCACCATGGTCTAGCAGATTTGCTCAGCCAGCCCTCTCCAGCTACTTCACCGAGTAAGTTATGTTTGAAACATCCTACCACAGAAAATAATAAGTTTTTCTCTTGTGTTTGATGTTTGGACTTCAATTTCCTTAAAAATGCATTTCTTATTCATTTTTATTAAAGTGTTCAAAGTATTTGCCTACTAATCTTTTTGCCATAGTGTGTATGCAAATGCTGGAAAAAGTAGACTTGTGAATCACTCAGTTTTTTCTGGCCAAATTTCTCAGTAATTGGACCCTTGTATATAGCTACATTATACCTTAGCTTCAGCTACATGTTTTATTTAAAGAAAAAGAGTCCCAATTTTTTTCTTAAGTATCTGTGACCATTTTATGTTTTTCTTTTTATGTTTTATGTATATTTTATGTTGTAGATATTTGAATTGATCTAATTGTATTGTATTAAATTGGGTTTTGTTGCGTTGAAATTGCACTTGTATTGCGTATTTTTATGCAGTTTTTGGCTTTTAGTGATATTCTTGGGTAAATGGCTTTTAGTGATATTCTTGGATCTTTTTTCTTTCAGGCCCGTTTTTACAGCAGGAAAAAAGCCCATATCGTGATCCAAAAGATGGTGGTTCCACAATAGATGAATATTCACCACAAATACGTACCCAGAGCTGGATAGCAAATCATGGGAATCAGTATGAACAAGATGAAGAAGAAGAGAGACGAAGAAGAGAGGAAGAGATGTACCAAGAAGAAGAGGATAGGCGGCAGGAGCAGATGCAGAGAGAGCAAGATGCTCGAGAGGAAGAAGAGAGACGCTTGTACGAACAAGAACAAAATGATCGCCTACGGAAGTTGGAAGAAGAGCGTTTGGAAAGGGAAGAGTTTGAAAGAGTGCAAAAACAACACGAGGAAGAAGAAAGACAGAAAGAGAGAGAAAGGTTGGAAGAGATAAGGAGGCAAAAAGAATGGGCTGTTGAACAACAAAGGATTGAAGATATGGAAAGACAAAGGCTAGACGATGAACGAAGAGCCGAAGAGGAAAGACAAAGACTAGAAGAGGAGCGAAGAGCGGAAGAGGAAAGACTAAGGACAGACGAAGAAGAAAAAAAAGAGAAGCAGAGAATGGAAGAGCAACGCTTACAGGCCGAAAGAGAGGAAGAAGAAAGGAAAAGAATTGAAGAAGGTCGGAAAAGGGCAGAAGAGCGACGGAAATTTGAGCAACGGCAACGAGAATATGAAACAAGGTTGCGCATTATGGAAGAACAACAAAAGAAGCGTGAGAAGGAAGAAGCAGCTAGGCGAGAAGCAGAGAGACGAGAGCAAGAAGAGCTAAGAAAAAAAGAAGAACTTGAGGAATTAGAAAGAATAGAAAAGGAAAGACAGAGACAAGAAGAAGCTAGAATTATGGAGCAGAAGAAAAAGGAAGAAGAAGAACGAAGACTGATTGAAGAAGAGCGTAGGAACATTGAAAAAGAAAGGAAACGCAAGGAAGAGGAACGCAGATTATTGGAGGAAGAAAGAAAACGATTAGAAGATGAGAGAAAGCGGTTTGAAGACGAACAAAGGCGGCATTATGAAGAAATCAGGCGGAGAGAAGAGGCACGAAAAAGAGAAGAGGAGATGGCACGTCGAAAGCCAGACGTAAACCCGAGAAACCATCGGGGATCTTCGCCAAGAAACAGATACAATTCAGACGACTTTGGCAATCTCGATGATTTACCACCTCCCCCAGAGGTAAGGCTTTTTTAATTTTTGGATTTAAGTTTTTCCTTAGTTTTATTGATGCCATCGTAGAACTAGTACTTGCGTTAAAAGAAGACAATTTCGTGTAAGACATTATAGACTATAGCGAACTTGTCTCGACTGCTGCTCTATTCATAATCATTTTCGAGGCTATGGCAAATTTTTGGTTGCTTAAGCTAGCAGCCCTTAAACAGTAGCTGCAGGGGTGTAGCCCTTTACTTTATCGTCAGTTTGGGTAATTTTAGTGTCTGGGGGCATTCTGGCATTCTTGGTCCTGAAATTCTGCAAATTGGGTACAAAAATAGACGAACAATATTGATATTTCATAGCCCCAAACAGCTATATACATCTTCATTTCAATTTTCTAGTAAGTTTGAGTAATATGCAGAAATTTTCGTCAATGAAAAATTCTCAGAAAAATTCGAACCAAACTTTAACTTGTTTATTGAAAAATTCGAACAACTAACGCGACTATTTTTTCTCTTCCGTAAACCTACTTCCCACAATTTTTTATTTTTTTCTTAACTTTTCTATTCTTTGGTATTTTCTTTCATGCATTAAAGTTGCAATTTTCAGATTCGAGCTTGAAAATTACAGTCCTCTTAAGTAATTTTTTGCGTCTACAAACCACGTTCTAAATATTACGTTTATGTGTCAAATGCTTCCGGTTACTGCTCTATCAATACGTTCTTTGCTTGCGTTATTTCTGTAGTCTTTCTGTACAACGGTCTGTATTTTTGGTTTTCCTTGTTTCTCCTGTATGCATTTCATACTCTCTAGCTCAATCTGTTGTGCGAATCTCGGTTTCTTGGTAAGCCGCGCTTCCAGGATATTGAGAATGTTAAAGAGATGAATTGCCGAAATTTGCTTTGGCCGTGACCGACCATATTTGTATTTCTGGTTTGTGGCCACATTCATTTCAGTGCAATTCCTTATACATACGAAAAAACCTACTCAAACCATTGCATTTGCTAATCTACATATATTAAGCCTGCAGAATGCAAAATTTTGCGTCTTTTTATATGGACCAACCCGTCTACCAACACAGCTCTAAACGAAGCTAACAAATAATTTTATTCTTGCTCTGCCGCCTTACAGGTGCAACATGGGAATAAGTTTCGCGCTAAAGTGCCTAACAGAAGTGTTAACAGTGGTTTATTTAATTTCGAGCCCTCCTGTCGATAACACTTTATGTCCTCATCTAAACATCTAGAGTTCTAAAATTCTTAAACTTACGTTCTGCGTCGCTTTAAGTATGGTAGAAATTTGATTGGTCCAGAATTCAGATTTGCTCTTGGTCAGCTGAAGAGGTTTTGATTTTAACTGTATTTACACCAAATATAAGAAGCCATTTTAATCAGAAAGTCGGTTTAATCCGGGTGATTAGGCCCACAGTATAGCAAAGCATGAATCTAACACTTAAAACCACGCACACGACAGAAAACGAGCTCGCTTCGCCTATGCCATACTTACACTTGAAAAAATTTTCACAGGTTAAACCCTTGTCCGACCTACTGCGTGAGGTGGGTTTTTTCTGCCAGAGCTCACTTCAAGTTAGTTGCGTTTACAGAAACAAGAACTTAACCTGGGTCGAATTCATCTGGCCCGGGGTGAATTATAGCTAGCTAGCTCTGTACACAGGGCCAAATATGTCTACTCGGGGCACCCTTTATGCAGACAAGATCCACGGGTAGAGCTTAAACTTTATTTGAACATGCAAGCAGGTTTTACTGTAAACCCTTTTTTATAAGAACCACGTTATCAGGATCCTACATGAAGTAGGCAGGAAAACTTAAAGAAACGTTGGTTCTAAAGACAAAATCCCCAAGGAACTTTCCAAATTTGAATATTTTTATCATTGCAAACTATCAAGAATAAGGGAAGCGGTTTCATTGATTTGGAGTCAAAAATGACATAAATTGTGTGTTCCAAAGGAAGCTATCAAGTGTGATTCATTGTGTTACCTCCACTTTTCATATATCAAGCGTCTTTCTAATCTTCTTTCTGTTTTTCACTTTGTTTTTTAGCTACAGTTAAGAATCTAGCGACACTTATACAGAATTTCAATGTGTTATTTCCAATTTTCATGGCATCAAATGTGCAGTTAAATTAAGGAACGAACTTTAAGTTCTACAGTTCGATCAAGAGAGATCCAAAAACAAGAAACGACAAGAATTATTAATCGAGTTAGGCTCTTCGTATAAAAAGCATGTATGCGATGTTTATGAAATACCCAACCTATTGCATATCATGTACATTGTAATTGGTAATACTGTTTTACTGGTCTGTATTGAAGTGGTCGATATAGAGACCGTACACCATTTAGTGTATAGAACAAGTATTACATCGTTCATGAAATTCCCAGCCCATTTTTAACATGTACATTTTATAGCTATGACATCCCCAGTCATCCTCAAAAATCACCTCCACGTGACCAAAAAAGATTTCCTTGCTTCTCTTTTGTTTGTATTGCACAGATATTATCAAATCGCGTTATTTCAAGAGACCAAGATTCAGAAGTCTCTGATAGTGCTGTTGTGAGTTAAGCAGCCTTCAAAGTATATTATAACGAATTTATCAAACAGTAGCGTGTTGAAACGCAGTATGAAGCTAATTTCAACTAACCAAGCTAGTAGACAGACTTCATTGCCGACCATCATAGGCGACCTGTCCATTCATCGGTCTCTTGAAGATAACGATACAGCCCAGAGACGCCGGAAGGACTATAATGCAAGTGGGCAACGCGCCAAGAAAAAACCAAAACAATAGCAAAATAAAGAGAATTGGCAAATTATCGAGGGGGCATCCACCCCCGTGCACCCCCGTGTTCTGGCGTCCTTTTCACAGCCGAATACAACACCCCCTAGAGATATATTTGTTGGGGGCGGGGGTGGGTTGATTGATTGATAGGGCTGTGAAAGATCGATATGAATGGAGTTACCGACTTTGGCAGCCAAATGCTTTTAGCTTTAATATTGATGGATCTGCGACCATTGTGGCAGGTGCTTCTAGCCTACGAAAATATTCGAAGAGCGATCAGAAAAATGACAGAAAAGTCACCTTTAAAGTTCTGTAGTGTCCAACTCCATTTAAAACTTTTGGCTTAGAATTAGTCCATATCTTGGATAATCACAAATTATCGCGTAAGAATATGACTTGTATAGTTTTTTGCTTGGAATATTGAAGAACTTTTTCCATCTGCTTTTGATGGGAAGGAAAACTCTATAAATTTCCAAAAGAAACCAAAAAGCTCTCCATTCAATTCGATCACGAAAAATTATGCCACATAAATATGGCGGCAAAGGTAGATTGCAAGATTCGATCGATCTATCTTTCGAAAGCTAAATCTACCCTTTCAAAATATGTAAAACAGAGCTTATCAAACATTTGTTAAGATTCCGACAAATAGCCGAGAAAGAAAGCATAAAATTTATTGTAGCAACAAATTTATTGCAGATATTAACAGCAAAATTTATAAAAAATAAATGAACAAAAAGTCTTTTAAATCTCAAGATCATGCAGTAATGATAATACGCAAAAGACAATCCGAAAGTGTTTGCCTTAAACCTGAAATATCAGCGCATTTCTTAAGATCAAGATAAAACACCTGACAGATAAGACCCAAGCTTTGTGTATAATTGTCTCCCTGTGATGATCTTATTTCATGTATGCGACAGAAATTAATTAAGATTTATTTAACATAAGTAACATTCATATGAAACATGATCCAACCATGCTTCCCAAACACGTTGAATTGCATTGGCCATATAAGAGATAGAGCAATCAGTGCTGCAAGCAATTAAGTATTGAATACTACCCGAACCCAGCTACCAAAAATCGATTTAAAATCTATCAATTATAAGACAAGGCTAGGAGCAGTATCCCTGTCTGTCAAATACAGCTCTGATTTGTCAAACATAGTGGCAGTTAGCATCATCACGTATTACAATTAATAGTGCAAAGAAGCACCAAGAAAGCCCTAATATCACAACATTGTTTAAAGCCTGTTTACTTACAGGCTCGTTACATTCCAATGTTAGCGTCGAGCCCAGAATTCACCTTTTTACCTTGCTTCTAGCATAGTCCCCTTTCTTTATGACTTTGCTTCTAGAGACAATTTTTTAGAAATATTTCTATAATATTTCGAGAACTATGCTGAATCACTCATAAGGGTGATGAAAGCGAAACAGCTGCGCCGAAGAAAAGGCAAAAACAACTTGGATTTAAGGCTGTGTTTTGCTGCTACAATAGCAAATTTAAATGTGATAGATATCATTGATTCTATGTTTATATTAACGTCTTTGATTAATTGAAACTGCAAAAGCTGGAATATGGTATGCCATGCTTTCACTACGTTCTGTGACAATCTTACTGATTCGCCATAGAACATCGCTCACAGTTTAGACTTTGCTTTTTCACAATATGGTATTATTGATTTAGATGTTCCGATAGAGGCTTTTGCCTATGATCACAAGCGAAGAAAAGAATTGAGATGTAAATTAGCGATATTAGCTTAGCAAAAGGTTTGCGTCAGCGTCTTTATCTATTATTGATGTTAAGCTGCAAAAGATCAGAATAACCATTTGAATAATTTACGAGCCACTGTTCGGCTTTTGGTTATTATCTCAGTCGATGAAAAATATTTTCACAGTTTCAACTGAGTAGGTAAGGAACTTGCAATCTGCAAAGCAGACGGAACTATCCACGCTTGCCCATGATCTTCCCAAACACGATTGATTTTCTTCCTTTCCTTCAATCGATTTCAATGTTTTTGTCGTCAAAGACACTAAGTATTTACTGTAGCATTTTCTTAAGAATCGCAGAAACGTCATTCATCAAACTAATATGAAACAATAAAAACTGCAAGTCGAGGAAAAAAATTACCGACAATAGTTTTGTCGATCAGCAGCAGTTGTGTTAGAGCAGCAAAATTAACAAGGAACTGCTTAGTTGTGATTTTAGAACCGCCGCATGCCTTGCTTCCCCAGAAAACTAGCACCCCTTGGTAAACAACCTATACGCAAGACACTAGTAACAGCACAGTTGGTTTTTTATATATTCTCATAGAATTTTACAAGACAGACAAACTACAAGAAGGTGCCACAAGGAGCATGGAGATACATAGCAACCCTGTGACCATTATATTAAACATATTTCTAAAAATTTGGTTTCGTTCCTTTTTGCTACAGTGTAGATGCGATAAAAAAGTGGTATCGTGTCCAAACAAGAACGGAACCAAAGAGTTCCGTTCTTCTTTCTGTAGTGTAAACGGGGTCTAAAAAAGATGGGAGGGTGATTCGTTGGAATGTTCTTTTTTGAAAAGATAACCTCAACTGCTTGCTTAGTTGGGTCAGGATTAGAAGTCATTCGCCAATTGCGTGCCCTGAGCTTGATGAGATTTAAATCGTTGTTCAAATCACGTGTACTTCACGTGGGTCGTTTACAACTATGTAGATCGATGTGTCATCGGCCAATAGTTTCACATTACACGTTTAGCCATCTATCAAGTCACTGATATAAATTAGGAAAAATAGAGGACCCAGGGTAGAGGCTTGGGGGACTCCAGCTGAAATGCTACCCCATTTAGATGTTTTTCCATTCAAAACAGTACGCTGCTTTCTATCATCGAGAAAGCTTTGCATTAGCGTCAGTAATTTACAAGAGACACCACATCGGCGTAGCTTGTATATGAGACCGAGATGCCAGACCCTGTCAAAGGCCTTTGAAATGTCGAAAAAGACAGACCGGTGTAAATATGGAGTTGACTATTGCCAGTAACTGGTTGACAGTTCAATCTCTTGGGCGAAATCCTGATTTTATTGGTTTTTTAGAGTCACCAAAATTCAAGACGATAATAAGTTCGGCCATTCATCGAGGCTTGAAAATGGCCAGAAGCAATAACTGATAGAAAAATTCTTTGAAAATACCTATGCTGTCGAAAAAGACGTTGTTTAAGAGTTAAGCGAAACCAAAAGTAATAAACACAAGTAAACAGAATAACTAAAGGCTCTGCTAGGAAGTCTTTCTATCTTTCCCTTAGTTATACAAAGTTGTGCCTTTGGTATTGTGTCGATTGGTCCTTTGTTTGTGTAAATGCAAGGGACGGTGCCATTTTTCTATTTTCAGTTGTCCAGTACAAGGTGGCTCACTAAGTCACAATTATTCCATTAAATGTGCAGAAATTGATCTAAAAAAATCCAAAACCGCTTAAATTTTGGTTTACAGCACATGTGTTAGTATCCGGAAAATTGCCATATGGCTTTCATTGATTCCAGGACATTTTTTGGCAGATTGCAATATTGAATAATTATGGACATAACAAATTTTAAAGGCGGAACAATTTTTTAGTTACCAACTATACAATTAAACAACAACACGAAAAATAAAAGTAGCCATCGTCTGCACAAATAACTGATAGCTACAAACGAAATATGGAGGACATGAAAGAAATTGCTGAAATGAAATTTGAATGAATGAAGCAATTTTGCTCTTAATGAATCAGTTCAAAGTAATTTTGTATTTTCTGCCAAGGGAAGGAGCCGTTTGTCGTAACGCATTTTGCAAAACACTAGGAATCTCTTTCGCCAAGTAATTTCATCCCTAGTGCAGCGTCGATGAGCAGTGTCGATTGAATCAAGCAGTTGGAAGTAATTAAAAAATCAGTATTTTAGATGAATACTATTTCAAGGAAAAGCTTATTCCAAAAAATACGGTATTTGTACTTGTTAAGGAAATGAATACAGTCAGAGCTTAGGGAAAGTTAAAGGCTTTTGACAGATACTAAAAGTGGCTTAAACCATATGTCAATCCGTAATTGCCTAGTCAGCTAGCGTGATAGCAGACGGGATTTTAAGAACTTGAGAGCTACTTTTGAGAAATTAGAATCATACGTTAGTGAGAGATTTTCCTCGTAAACAGGTGAGATCGTCGAGCTCATTTTACCTGCTGATTTCTTATGGCCGTTCAGATCGATTATTAGAAAGCCTTCAGTTAGCCCAGTCGTACATTTCCTTCCTGCATTGAAATTTCCTTGAAACGACAGTGGTTCCTATGGGGAGGAATGGGGCTGCAAAATTTCAGTTTACACATGACAGATCAAAAAATGGTTTCTTTAAAAGCAATTTTGGTGAAAAATGAAACAAAAAATATGAATGGAAGGTTTTGTGACACCCTTCAATTACAATTTTTGGCTCGGGGTCTGTGACACATTCAGATCCATATTCGCGGTGCGTTAGCTGAGAAGTAAAATTACGAAGGTCTTCAAAAGTTGTAAAATTGTTTAGTGGGATTTATAAGCTTTTCAAACGTCTTTACAATTTTGAATATTTTTTTCTCTTAAGCGGAAAATTTAAACTTGTTCATATCAGAGACTTTGCTATCCGCCATTGACATTGTTCAATTTCTTTTTTAAAAGGACCTGTTGCTAGAAGATTACGGAGTTCAAAAAGACCAGGAGGAAAAGTTGGAACGAAAGATACAGAGCCAACTCGCAGCCGAGAGACAAGAACTGCGACAGGCTGAACGCGAGCAAAATGAACTGCATCAAACGAACATTGAAGAATACGAGGAAACCAACATAGACAATGTTGATGACGAAATGCTGCAAAGTAAACTAATGGAAGAGCGCCTGCAGGCTCGTGTATCCGGTGGAAAATCGCATTCTTTCTATTCTTCTGACGAAGATCCGTACGAAATTGAGCTTGAATTCCAAAGGAGGCTCCAGCAGGAGAATGAGAGGATGAATAGGGAGAGGCGGTTAGGCGACTATTATTCGGATGATGTGACCCAAAAAATGAGGAATGAGCGGGAACACAGGGCAGAAAAAGAGAGAAAGCTAAAGCTTATGATTGACGATCACGATCGGAGATCAGCCTATCGAAATTCTGACAAGAAAACTGTTGAAAATACAGATGTCGACGATCAAGAGAGAAGGGTTGAAAGACTTAATATACGCGGGCAGCCCCAAGCAAATACGAAACCGGAAGACGCTTGGTTCGCTATGCAGAAGAGAAACCATTTAGACCAAAAGCGCGAGCAGGAACGGATACGCAAAGAGCAGGAAGATTTGGAGGAGCAAGATCGGCAGCGCAAGCTTAGAGATATTAGAGCGCAAAAGGAACAAGAACAGAAAATGATGGAAGAGTACAGAAGACACAAAGAACTTGCAGATCAAACAGGGGCAGGTAAAAAGCCATGGCAAAAAACATCAGTGTCAGGGAATTTTGATCGCACAGGTGACAAAAAAGAAATAGTAAAAGATGAGTTTAAGGAAAAAGCGATCGCAGATTATGAAAGACGCCGCGCAACTCTTGACAAAGATGTTGAGAGAGCAGAGCGCGAGAAACGAATACGCAATATGGAGGTCAGGCCACCGCAAGTTGCAAAAAAGCCACCGCCATACCGATCTGTCGCCGATGATGACGAGGAAGCACCCCCGAGGCCTCCACCGCCATCTAGCATTTCTCCAATGGATATCGTAAGGTCGTCGTCAAGCACAAGTCCCAGCCCACAGCCATCAAGAGGCGACAGGTTTAGTTTTTCTGCAAAAACTATATCAAATGTAACTGCTCAGAGCAGTGCAAGACCAAACCCCGTAAACGTTACCAATCGAGTCTTTTCACCTACAGGCCAGTATCAGCCTCGTTCTGCGTCTAGTTCAAGGTCTCCGTCACGAGAAGACCCTGCAAGCCTCGATTTTAGTCAGAAAATGAAAATGTTTGGTGTTCCGCAGAAAAACGAACCAATGAATAATATGCGGTCGACATTTTCGAAGAAGCAACGTGAATACATGGACTAGTTTAACTTTTACATTTTTCGATAACTTTGTCTATAATATAAATTCATTTACCCGTTTAACTTGATAAATGGATCATCTTCATGTCATTTGATAGCTGAGGATTAGATTTTGATTTGATTAAAAAATATGTTTGCTCATGAATGTCCAGAGATCCGTTGTGGAATTTTCAGTGCAGACGAGCCAGAAGCGTAATACGTCCACTCAAGTTTTTAATTAAAATTTATCTTCAGTGAAAATAAAAAGCTTTGCAAATAATGCCCGTCACATGACGGTATATGACTATTGTTCTCAACTTGAGGTGTTCTTATATCGATGACTCAACCTTGAAGCTTTTATAAGATCTCCATGCAACAGCGAAGATTACGATGATGTGTTGATCGGTGAATTGGAGCATGCCTGGTTTTTCTATTTTTATTTGATATCGTTTCCATTATCAAGATTAATAATTCTCATTTTCAACATTTAATATTCAATATATTTATAACAGTGGTTTTGGTCAGCAGATGTTATCTCCCGAAGTTTGTCATCTGTAACAAGCTGGAATGATTCACCATGCGGGAACAAATGATGGTACTAGGGATAGCCCTGTCAATAATATTGGCACTCCGTTGACAAAAAAGCATTATATAACACCTAACTATTTTTTAGCCTCTAAGCTGCTGTAACATCGTTCATAATAGGCAGGGAATTTTCTCAGACAATCTGAATATCAGTCTAACCGAAAGATTCGCTAAGTTACTAATTCGCTAAGTTACTAATAACCGAAAAATTTGCTAATTCGCTAAGTTATATAGATTTCTTATATAGATATTTTATAAGTTATATAGTTACTAATTTGTTTTTACCAAATCAGACTTAAAAGACCACATAGATTCCAAATCTGAGATATACCTTTTGAAATTTTGACCGGAAGTTGCAGGTTTTGATGACGTCAATAAAGGGCCTCTCCAGCCAAATTTTACACTTGCATTTTATTGGCTAATCTAAAGGAGTTTAATCTGCTGATCACGAATTCGTTATTTGTTTATCTATTTTTTTACAGTTTGTGAGATATAAGCTCTTGCATTTCGATAATTGAATTGAATTAACTGACAAAAGTTTTTCGGTTTGGTGACACTGACCCAATTTTGACGTCACTGTGCATTTCGTTAGTCCCGCCTCAAACCGAGTCGAACGACGGTGATTCGCAAATTGTACACTGCAAGTGATGGTACTCTCAGTTCTGTTCCACCGGCTTTTAGTTTGAGCATTTAAGATATCAATTTTAAAGCCTTTAGTTGTTCATCGTTTCTGCAGGGAAGAGCTGGAACAAGAAGCCGTAGCTTTGTGGGCCTACACAGGTGATCAAAACAAAGTCACGACCCAGCATGGACACATTCCGACCCGCAAACTTAGAATGATTGTAAACATTTAATATTTTTCGATCGTAAAAAGCTCCTGCTGTAGATTCAGATGCAGTTATCAACGCATGATCATGACTCCTTCACGATTCGGTGGAAGATCTACGAAATTCATGGCGAACGAGAGCCGCACACTGTGACGTCAGAATGTCACCAAACTGATTCGACTTTTGTCCCTTTTTTCTCGGAAAGGTGCAACTTTAAATACTTATAACTTCTAAACTAATTTTAATTTTGCAAAAACAACGACTTTGCCATAATACACACACCAGATGCTAACTTTCAAGTCAATGAAAAAATTTTATTTTTGGCTAGAGAGGCCCTTTAAGGAACAAAAACCGATACATTTAGCAGTTCAACAGCTTTGTTGTAGCAGTTAGTGCAAAATAAATACATATTTACAATCAGCATCCAACAACGATTCAAATGATTTATAACTTAGTTAAATTTGAACGCATCAGTAATTTTAGTGATGACGTCATCGTCTTACGTAACTGTCACTAAAGGTTAGTATTTTAAGCCTGAAGCTCATTTTCAAGATTCTTTGCAAAACCAATCCTCAAAATCATAAAGTGCACGGAATAATTTGTTTCATCGAGTTCCTTATGCGCTAGTTGTTTGAGTGATTACGTCATAATTTTCATTCTAATTCCACTGTAGAATTCTTACGAGGGTTTGGATTGTTCATAATTGTAAAATTTTATATAAGTTAAAATAAAAACTACGGTAGATATCTACACTTGGTGAGCAAAAGTATTGCGCAGGCTGAAACAGAAATAGCCGCACCGCAGCAACAAAATTTAGCGAACCAAAATTCAAGTAGCGTAAAAGTAGCAAGTAGCAAGTTTCGTAAAAGCTATAAGATGACTTTTTAACTGGAGTATATTGGATAAATTATCAAGCTTTGATTGTGAAAATAGTAAATGCAGGAGTATTCTTGATGTTTGCCTATTTCTAAACAATATCGACATGTCGCAACAGCACAAAAATTGAGCTATGATGATTGAATCACCTGTGAAACATTTGCAATAAAAAAGTTCATTTTTGCACCAATTTGCGATATCTTATTACCATGAACTTAGGGGTACTTACTTAATGCTTGGGTGTCTAGAAATGCTCATATTCTTCACTTTTGTTGAAGAATCTGCTTAATGTTTTGGTCGGAAATTTTTGGAGCCGCAATAGGCCTAATCGCAGCGGCCGCTTCCTGATATGTTGCAGCAAAATTCAATCAATAAAATGTATCACAAATCGTAAAGTCCATCTTTTCCTACCGATTGCAATTTTGTAAAGGGAACTAATAATGTTGAAAATTGCGTAAAACAGCATTTCGTCCTCTCATTAAGTGAAAATACCAAAATTCCCGCGATAAACAGGTTCACTCGAGTACGTCAATAGCTGTAAAAGAGTGGACACAATAAAATGGCTTAAATCATGCCACTTTCCACCAAATACAAGGCCATTTATGATCAACCTGGTACTTCAACACCTAAATGTTTTCAAAACTGATACACCGTCCAATAAAAAGTTCAAATTATTCATTTTTTAAAAAGTTGGTACTTTGAAAAACTTTTTCAATCAAAAGTGTTGGTAATTGTTTGAAGTTTGGTGTGATTAGATTTTAACCATAAAAAGACGCCTAATGGCTTCACAAAAGTGGTTTGAATTTCGATCGCTTTGTTGTTGACAACGCGGTCGCCATTACTGAATTGTCAAACCTGTGCGATACTTTTGCTCACTAAAGCCTGGTTCCATATCGTCGTAAGCGACGGGGACGTGTCCCAGCAGAGGATCGGCGATGCTGCTGGGACGCTTACGATGGTATGGAAACGTGTTTTATAGTGATGTCTCCGACTTCCCCGTAGAGATGAAAAATGTTGAACAATGTTCAACTTTTGAGAACATCCCCGATGCATCGACGTCGTGTCCCCGTCGATGAGGGGACAGTTTTCCAAATGGAAACAACACACTTGTGATCGGTGACGTCGGGGTAGCTCAATTATTCACTTCGAGATTGATAATAGTGCATTGGAGACTCAAGCAAAATGGCTACTCGAAGCTTCACTAGCGACGAGCAAATGTTGGAAGTTATTCAAAACTTTCCGTGCATATATAACAAAAGAAGTGTAGCCTGAGCTCCTCAAAAAGAGTGTTCAATTGTCCAAACTCCAGCCTTTTCTTTAAGAAGTCCCGCACCCACAGGACTTTCTTTTGTGTTTTCTTTTCTGCTTTTTTCTTCTCAGCCTGATTCTTCTCAATGCTAAAAGCGCGTAAATCATTTTCATCTGAATAAGTATATGTACAGCTACCATGATTGTTTGCCCCGAATTGTCAAAAGCGCGCGAAAATACAGCTCTCCGACGATATGACTGGGACACGTCCCCGTCGCTTATGACGATATGGAAACTATATCATCGTAAGCGTCCCAGCCGAGCTCTGCTGGGACACGTCCCCGTCGCTTATGACGATATGGAAACTATATCATTGTAAGCGTACCAGCCGAGCTCTGCTGGGACACGTCCCCGTCACTTATGACGATATGGAAACCAGCTTAAGTGTATAGTTTCATAGTAAAGGAGTAATTTCAGCCTAGTCTAGCAATGATAAGTTTAAGTATAAAAGGATTTTTATATTTTAGAGTAACCTATCAATGTCTTCGTTGCCACTCTCTGATCCACTTTCTGCAAACCCCCGAAAAATACAAAGCCAAGTTCAGCGCTGGAAAATCCTCTTTGCTTTCCGTTTCTGAGTCGGTATTTGCATCATTTCATTCATTTAATTTCATTTTAAATTATTTACACATGGTAGGCCATTCAGCAATGCTGGTTTGAAAGAGACACTAACATAAAATTTTAGTGTAACCTTCCAGACTAGGGAGGTGGAGGGTCATTGAGAATAAAATTTACCGTCGAAGACATGGATAAAGAAAGTTCAAGGTGCTGTTACTTACCGACCAACTGAAGACGTACCGACAAATTCATGAAGAAGTGGAGGTATGTGACACACCCCCGGTTGCCACGCCTCTGCCCACAGCTTAGCAAGTTTTTCTTAACTATGTCAGAGTCTATCCTTGTTAGTATTTCTACTCCGGCCTGTCTTCTATTAGGGGGCATTTTGTTTGAGATCAGCTATTTTGGCGCCAATCTGGTGACGCTTTTTGAAAGCCTCTGTTTTAAATTGAGGCTACCAACAGCGTTCTCACATTTTTAAAACTTATTATATTCAAAACGTACTAATTTTAAGACGGACCAATCTGAACTGACAGCTATTTCATCAAGGGTAACTGAGGGAGAAGCAACCAAAGGCAAATCTAACAGCAAATCAGAATTTAAATTCTCTCATACATAAATCTTTAATGAAGTCATTGGTACAAATGAATTGCTATGGTCGCCAAAGAAAGTCAATCTGTTTCTTTTTGTGCACTTTTAGGAATAAGACAATGCAAGTCAGGCTCCCTCAGGCTAGGCTGCTCAAAGTGATACCAGGGTTTTCTTGGCAGACCATAAAAAGATATTTGTATACACAGTGGCGGATTTAAGGGGGGCAACTAGGAGCAGTTGCCCCTCTCTCGACGAGTTGAGGCAAGTATGGCGCCCCTTTTTTGGAAATTGTGCGCCCCTTTTGAAGAATGAGAATCAGGTGACAAAGTTTCTGAGACCAATAGGTTAATTTGCTTCAAGGATTACTTCAAAGTTATGTTGTTTATTCCGAAAATGGATCTGAAATTGTTGTATACGGCGCTCTCTCGTCATCAATTTTTGTCGTAAATCGTAATCATTCAAATTTTTCAGCGCCCCCACTACAAACTGCCCCTCCTTCAAGTTTGCTCTGGATCCGCCCCTGTGTATATACTACATGGTTAACATACGGAGGTGACAATTATTAAACCTGCAAAGAATATTTGTATGCATGTAGACACAGTGGCGTACCCAAGGGGGGGAATGGGGGGGGGGGTCCGGAGCCCCCCACTTTTCTAAAATATGGTCCTCGAGATTTGTCCAAAAACGATGTAAAACTCATTTGGGGGGCAGTATACTGTATGCTTGTGTCAATAACAATTGTAAAATGCTTTGCTATTTACCGTAGCTAATATGAATCAAAT